AGTCCTTACACATACCCAGTGAGGTAACTGGCCTCAGATGAAACGTAAAGATGAAACAAATCCTTCTACCACTTTATCTACAACTATCTGTTTCCTACATCCCTTCAAAGTCCAGAATTTACACAGGATCTCTCAGCTGTGAAAATCAGGAGCCGGAGAGCTGACCTAACATAGGTGAGGAGAGCTATGAGAGCTGATTGGAGGGAAGGGACCCCCCCTTTACACAGCACATAGGAACCGAACTGAGGCTGTCAATCTGCTGGAGCCTGAAGGTCCCTCCCTTGACACCCTTTTTCTTTTGGTGTCAGGAAAACTAATCAGATGTAACTCATGCTTAAAAGCAGAGGATTGAGACAGCAGACAGAAATGACACTTAGTGCTCTCGATTGAGACACACTATAGAGCAGGGGTCTCCAAACCTTTCAAACAAAGGGCCAGTTTACTGTTCTTCAGACTTTAGGGGGGGGCAGATTGTGGCCAATGGGTGTAGAAAATGTCCGAGGTTCAGCATCAATGAAAATAAACTTGGCCTCGGGGTTGGTGGTCAGTAGCAGGAGGAGGAGTAGTGCCCTATCATTGGTATTAGTAGGAGGAATAGTACCCCATCATTGGTATCAAGGAAAGAAATAGTGCTCTGTTGTTGGTGTCAGTGGGAGGAATAGTGCCCCATTGTTGGTGTCAGTGGATGGAATAGTGTCCCATCATTGATATTAGTGGGAGGAATAATAGTGCCCCATCATTAGTGTCAGTGGCCCATCAATAATGTCATTGTCAGTGCCCCACTGTTGGTGTCAGTGGAATGGATAGTGTCCCATTATTGATATTAGTGGGAAGAATAGTGCCCCATCATTAATGTCAGTGGCCCATCATTAGTGTTATTGTCAGTGCCCCTCTGTTGGTGTCAGTGGGAGGAATAGTGCCTCATATCATTGGGAGGAATAGTGCCCCAAGGGCCAGATAAAGGCTAACAAAGGGCTGCATCTGGCCCTTGGGCCGTAGTTTGGAGACCACTGCTATAGAGGAATATGCTTTGTTCATATTTCATGTCTGAGGTTTACAGCCACTTTGCGTTATATAGCTATATATTGATATGAAATATCAACCAAAGTTACTGTGTACAATAAATCTGTTCATAAACATCCTGATCCTGCTATAATTGGCTAGATGCAAGCTTTAAACAAGGGTTGGGTCATATAGGAGTAACCCTCAGAGGAGATGCAAATTCTTCTGAAGTTGGAAGTATTCAATATAGATGTCTTCTTGTATGTCATTCTTGAGAAGATGTGCCTGTGTTGGACGCGGTTTCGGACCCCAGCAACCTTAACCAACTTGTAACAAATCAGACCAGACTAACACCACGCTAGTACTGATATACGACAATTACCCTGTCAGCCTCACCCTGCACAAAGATGTTCCAGGATACGGGACCACAATCTTCAGTGATGCCACCACAGAGCAACATGGTGCACCACGTTTGCTCTGTGGTGACATGCAGGGCCTTCCAGAGAGGTGCAATATTATGCAAACATGTTGTGTTATATTGTACAGCTCTGGAACGCAGAGAAACACCATGTTCTAGAATGAATATGACACACAGAAAAGAAATGGTTTCTGTGTGTTATTGCAGTTACCTGCATTTTTCCATGAGCCTTTAGACTTGTGTGGATGGAAAAATTCAGATTGCATTTAAGACCAGTTTCCGAGATAATTCAGAGTTCATTGACAGGTGCATCTGACCTGCAGTTTACCTCTCTCTAAGCGGCATTATCATCCCTTCATCTAAATACCCTGGTCACACCTCCTATACGTAGGGCTTCCCCCCTTTCTCTTATACTCAGGGCTTCCCACCCACCACAGCTGCTTTATTTGATAAAATCCCAGGGACTAAATTCCAGGACCCACCCTATGGCCCCTTTCACACGGGCATTCCATTTTATTCATCAGTTCAGTCAAGTTTTTTTCCAAGAAAAAACAGATCAGTTCACATCAGTTTTTCATCAGTTTACCTCAGTTTTTCATCAGTTTACATCCGGTATTCATCAGTTTACATCCGGTATTCATCAGTTTACATCCGTTTTTCGTTAGTTTTCCATCTGTTTACATCCATTTTTCATCCATTTACATCCATTTACATCCCTTTACATCAGTTTGTTGCGCATTTATATCAGTTTTTCATACATTTACATACATGTTTTGTTCATTCCGTTTTTTTTAAGGGAAGAAAAATAGGGGTTTTCTTCTGTTCAAAAAAACAGATGTTAACGGATGCGGACATTAACGGATGTAAACAGAGGATCATCCATTTACATCCGCTAGTCCATAGAAATACATGTGTGTCCGTTTTTCATCCGTAAACGGACAGATGAAAAACGGTCATACAGAAAGCCCATGTGAAAGGGGCCTAACTCTCGGGAACACAGAGAGAGGCTCCTCTGTAAATAAAGCTTGAAAACATTATTTGCAGAAATAAGTATGTTACAGCAGTAGTATTGTCATAATGTACTTTTACTATTTATATATATATATATATATATATATATATATATATAATTTTTTTTTTTAATGGTTGAACTGGATGGACTTTTGTCTTTTTTCAGGCAGAATAACTATGTAACTATATATTGTACATTCACATTAGTTGATATTATGTAACTATTTCTTTTACATGAAAACGGGTGCTTTTAGACTTGGGAAAGACATGGGAAACCCTGAAAGGTGTATTGTGGTGCCCATGCCCCTTCATAGGGGCAAAACCACACTTTCTTATAGGCAGAAGGGAGCCAAAATAATGTCACAATGTCTCCTGCTGAATTTTCTTACAGTACTATACTTTTTAAGGCCTAAACAATGTCCTTGTACAGCCAGGATAGTAGGATCATTCATCTAGGACAGTGGCAAAAGAATATAAACAGAAAAGTAACCTTTTTTGTCTTTCAAAAATTTGCAATTAAGACAATGCTTTCAGGATACACCATCTATTTGGTAGTCTTTGGCAACATCTTACCCAGGGCCAAATTTTGATGTATGCAAGGCAGGCTTCAGCCTACAGGCATTGTGTGCTTTGGCTAGCATTGTCTGTCAGTGGCCAGTGTTCCTGCAGCACAGACCTAGACCTGGCTCTCATTTTGATGGGGGTACTGACAGCACATGCTGTGGCTCCTGTTTAGATGTAATAATAAAGCAGTGACTTTGTATTTGTGTATGTGAGGCAATGAAATATGGAAAAGGGCTGATGGCTTCTAAGATAGGATATGGTAGCCACTGCTGAAAATGCTGATGTAAACTAGTGATTTTTGAATTTTGATTCTACAGGAAACCTCTAAGCCAGATGTTCAATACCCATCTGAATTTCCTACTGCATTGTACAGTAGTCAACAGCATGAGGCTAAGCATAAGTAGTTTGGTTTCCATTATTTAATAGTTATCATTTTTATTGACACAGACCTTTTGAATACCTGTTTTTCAGCATCACTTGTTATATTTCATTACAGCTCATGAGTTGACTAAAGTTTGATCTCAGTGACCTAGATTGACTCTCTCCCAAACTGTCATTTATAACATTTAATAAAATATAACCACACATTTTATGTGGTGCACATGGTGAATGCCTACAGGTTCTTGATACTCATAGCATCCAACTGTTTTTTATATTTATATCTCTAGTGCAATATGAGCGCACAAATAAATGAAATCTGGGGCATGTAGCTTCTGAAATTGGAGTGTTGTTTGTTCAAAGTTTGTCTTTTTTTTATTATTATTATTATTATTATTTACATAAATATTAACTGCATTCTGGCAGCATCCATGCAGAAATCCTGAAAATCCCTAATGGTTCTCAAATGTTTCTCACTGCCATATGTTCATGCTGCCTTGCTCATAAGGATATTACGTGAGCTGAGTTATGTAAGAAATCCATTTGAAATGTATTTGCCTCTATACTAGTGATTAATATTGTTTACATTTTACAATAGTAAAAAAGGTGAGCTCTAACCTTTTAGTCACCTTTAGTCACCTAAAGGGTTAGCTCACCTTAAAAAAAAAAAAAACTGTTTCTCTTCTGATAGCATATGTCTGTTCTGTCTTCATAGTAGGGTGAAGCAGCCAGTGGACGAGCACCCCCATATGTTTCAGGAGGGAGCACTGTTCTTTTCCTAAGGGCTGCATATGAGCAGTGTGTTCTTTCTGTCCTGTCAGCAAGTTGAAAAGGGAGAAACACAGCGAGTATACTACGCATGCGCGGCCTATGGGAAAAGGATGGTTGCTCCACCCTAATGAGAAGATAGGAAAACATGATGAAAAGCATTTGCTGTTTTTCTGGCAGACATCTGCTATTGCTAAAATGGCCTACAGGTGTGTTGGCAGAAGAGGGGTGTAGTTTTAAAATCTGATTGGCTTAAGGTGATGCTATTGTGTATACAGTAGTGATTGCATACATTTTTTTTTTTTTTTCATGTTTAACCACTTGCCCTCCTGAGGATTTCCCCCCCTTCCTGACCAGGCCGTTTTTTGCATTACCACGCTGCGTTACTTTAACTGACAATTGCGCAGTCATGCATTGCTGCACCCAAATTTTAATTTACATCCTTTTTTTCCCCACAAATGGAGATATTTTTGGTGGTATTTGATCACCTGTGCGTTTTTCTATTTTTGCGCTATACAAAAAAAGACCAATAATTTTGAGAAAAAAAACAATATTTTTGACTTTTTGCTATTAAACATGTCCAGTATAAAAAATTTCAAAAATCTAATTTCGTCATAAATTTAGGCCAAAATGTATTCTGCTACATGTCTTTGCTAAAAAAAAAATCCCAATAAGTGTAAATGAATTGGTTTACGTGAAAGCTAAAGCATTTACAAATGGCAGTATAGATACTGGAATTTTTATTTATACTAGCAATGGTGGCGATCAGTGACTTATAGCGGGACTGCGGCGAGCATTTTGATACTGGGGGGAACTGACTTGGTGTTACTGACATTCCCAGTGACACCAATACAGTGATCAGTGCTAAAAAAAAAGCACTGACACTGTACTAATGGCACTGGGCAGGAAGGGGTTAACATGAGGGCCGATCAAAGGCTTAACTGTGTGCTGGGTGTGCTTTACTATGGGGTCATGTGTTTGTATTTCACTGTAATCACACTGCTTTGCATGGCTGTGCTGTGCACAGCTATCCAAAGCAGTGTGCACGAACTGACAGGGAGGAGAACTGTTTTGTTTACAAACAGTTCTCCTCTCCATCGGAGATGCTTGGCAATCACCGGGTGCTGGCGAGTAACCACCGTCCGGGACCCGATGATTTACAGCCGCAGCCGCGAATGGCGGCTGCCTACCCGGAAATGCAAAATCACGTATATATACGTGATTTTGCGCACCCATGCTGCCCTGTATAGGGTGGTTAAATAGTAAATGTCTGGCAACTAACCTACCCACTCTATAGATATCATATTTGATATCCAGCCCATCCAAAACACTAGGATAATTAGCAGATCTTCTGGCGAACGCTGTTGAAGGACCTCACTGTCTGATATTTAAAAAGAACCTATCACAATTTCTCACTTTTCAGTTTGAAGCTTTCTCTCAATTCAGCAAAAATGTCATGAACAGTACTAGTTCCCCCACTTGTTCTCCAGTTACTGTCATTATCATCTTAGAACAGCCTCCAGCAGCCGTTATGGTTAGCTGTCTGCAAGCAGGCTCCCTCTGTCAGCGGCAGCCCTGTCATTCAGAGAACGCAGATTCAAAGGAGCTGTCAGAGACTTTCAGCAAAATCCTTCAGATGAGCTTTTTACAGTAGCTATAGCTCCCGACACTTAAATTTTTTACAGGTTCTCTTTAAAAGCAAAGCTCACCTTTTACATAAGCTGGCCCATGCAATACCTGCATGCCCATGCCCATACACGGTGCCATTTATAAAAATATTGTTTTAATCCAAATGCCATTATAGGCCTTTTCTGTCTCTCATGAAACCTGACTGAAATGCTCCCAATGTTTACATTCCTATGTCCTGGCTTATTTCCAGGACATGGGCTACAATAAAATGGCTTCTGAGCTACCTTCTTTGAGGTCAGCTAAAGTGAAAATCTCTTTACCGAGATAATTTCTTTAATATAACAATCAAGCAATGTTAGTGATTTTGTTTTATTTCCATTCCATCCCCATTTCCACAATTGATTTATACTAAATGTTTTCTCCACCTTGCATTCATATCCTTCTTAAAAAACAATGCCAACATTATTGCATAACACCCACATTCCATCTGCTGAAATTATATGCTCGGCAAGTACTGCCAAAGCTAGCCCTTTATGCAGTGATGCGGCATTCTCTTTCCATGTCACAAGCCAAATTGTACACTCAGTCTTTGAATGATAGCTTATGCATTTGATCAGCAGCATTATCATTAAAGTAAAAGGTGAATGATCATCCTGCACAATGCTAATAATTAACCACTTGAGCACCTCAGGATTTACCCCCCTTAATGACAAGGCCTCTTTTTGCTACTCGGCGCTGCACTAATTCAACTGGTAATTGCGCGGTCATGCAATGCTGCACCTAAACAAAATTTACGTCCTTTTTTTCACACAAATAGAGCTTTCTTTCGGTGTAATTTGATCACCTGTGCGCTTTTTATTTTTTTCACGCTATAAACAAAAAAAATGCCAAAAATGTTGAAGAAAAACAATATTTTTTACATTCAGCTTCAAAAAATATATAGTAAACTCAAAGTTAGTTATAAATTTAGGCCAAAATGTATTCTGCTACATGTTTTTGGTAAAGAAAAATTCCAATAAGTGTATATTGATTGCTTTGTGTGGAAGTTATAGCGTCTACAAACTATGGTATAAATACTGCAATTTACGCCATTTTTCTGCTATACAGCGCTGCGCTAGTTTAACGGACAATTGCGCGGTCATGCAATATGGTACATAAATGAAATTTACATCCTTTTTTTCCCCGCAAATTGAGTTTTCTTTCGGTGGTATTTGATCGCCTGTGCGGTTTTTATTTTTTGTGCTATAAAAAAAAAGGCTGACAATTTTGAGGGAAAAAAATATATATTTTTTGGACTTTTTGCTATAAAACATGTCCAGTAAAAAAAAAAAATGCAAAAATCAAATTTAGTCATAAATTTCTGCCAAAATGCATTCTGCGACATGTCTTTGCTAAAAAAAATCCCAATACGTGTAAATTAATTGGTTTACGTGAAAGTTATAGCGTTTACAAATGGCAGGAAAGATACTGGAATTTTTAATTTTTATTTATACTAATAATGGCGCCGATCAGCGACTTTTGGCGGCAATCAGCGACATATGTCGGCGACCAGCGACTTATGGCAGGACTGCGGGACAGCGGCGGACATTTTGACACTGGGGGGGGAACTGACTTGGGGTCACTGACATCCCCAGTGACACCAATACAGTGATCAGTGAAAAAAAACCCACTGAAACTGTACTAATGTCACTGGGGAGGAAGGGGTTAACATTTTTAGAATTTGCAGTGTAAGGGGAGTGTTTTACTAGGGGGCGGGGGTGTGTACTGGACGGGGGAGGGAGGGGGGGGAGCTGATCGAGGGAGAGAAAACTCTGCAGCTTCTCACAAGCTGTCAGAGAACTGACACAGAACAGGGCTGTGTGTAAACAATGCAGCCCTGCTCTGTGTTAGCGATCACCGGCAATCGCAGGAAACCGGCTGGTAAAAACCGGCCGTGACCCGTTGGCTGACACCCGCTGCTGACACCCGCGGGACAGGTAGGGCGGGCGCGTGCCTCGCGCGCACCCCCTACCTGTTTTGAAGGCAGCCGTTTTAAAACGTGCTTTTGCCTACGAGCGCCGCCCTGCCACCGTTTATATGCGGTGGCTGGGCGGCAAGTGGTTAAAGAGCATCTGCTGAAGAAATTACAACAAAAAGAGATGTGCCAATAATGATAGCCAATACTTGGAAATCTATTGGTTTATATAGTAGACTGATCTTATCTATTATTTCACTCTATTTTTAAATATATAATAGCTGTCTCCTGCATAGTTTTCCCTAAACCCTCATTACTGTTAACATATTTTTTTGTAAGAAATATCCAGTCTGGTGCATGTTACATAAAGTTGGTAACATCAGTTTAGGACAATGACTGATTTTGGGTTTTGCATCACTAAGCACCATATTGAAGCACACCAGAATTACTGTAACACCTCCATCTCTCTGCAGAAGAAGGTTTTCCGTTTCTTTTAAGCAGAGGGAGTTTTGATTACTTTTGATTTTTCTCATCGTAACATTACTGCCCTATTATTGGTCCTAACCAATACTTCATAGAAGCCAGTGGTTTCATGCACTTCAGTTTTGATGGCCCATAAGACTGGAATGTGTATGCAGATTGAGATTGGCTCTATAAAGCTGTATTTGTGCTGTAAACCAGAGATTCTGAATGTACCGTTGACCAAAAGGGGCATAAAGGAATGATTTGCATGGATCCACCCCTCTCCTAAAACAAGGATTTCTCTTATTTGGGATTTGTGTCTGTTCAAAAAGAGTTTGCTTTGCTTTGCAAATGACTAATTGGAGGGCTTTTTTAGCTCACCTTACCATAATCCCTCCCTATTTAGAAGCCAATGCACTGATAATAACCAACACGCCTGAAACAGCTGTATGCAGTTTGGAATAAATGGCAATAAAACACAAAACCAGTTGGTTAAACACAAGGCCACACACTGATGATGTATGTCACTCTACAAAAAAAATTGTAATTTGGTTAGAAGAAACACATGTAGAGTTCCAACATAGAGACAACCCTCTACTGACACGTTTCATTTTCTCAACTATGATCAAGCCTGTGAGGGTGAAAAACATCAGAAGGCATGGTCCTGTAGGCAGCCACTCTATACTGTATGTGTTTGTCCTGGCTGAATTTTTTTTTTCTATGAAGAGGGATGTCATCAGTGTGCGAACCTGTATTTGATAAAGCGACAATAAACAGAGCAGAGATGAGCTCCCTGTGGCCAGCACCTGGCAGACCTGAGATGGAGGAGGACAGGTGAAGTTTGGAGCAGTGCCTACTTTGGACTTGTTCTGGGTGTGCACTTGGCCACGGGGCATACAAAGAATAATTAAAATAAAAACATATTTCAAACTATAAATTAATGTTTCTGTTTTAATTTCACGTTGCTTTGAAGGCCACATCAGAAGATGTTTCAGCCTTTTAGCTAAGACTGAGTATAGTATCAGTTCTTATCCATGTTCAGGAGGAGAAACCTGATATATCTATGCCTTGTGATGGGGGTTACTGCCTGGGCAGAATTCCGCCTGGTATGATAGGGGTTCCAAAAGATTCCCCTCCAGGTAGGTGGGAACACCTAGTGTCAACCACGAAAGGTACAGGTGGTTATTACCCCTCAAATAAGGTAGAATTCTGAGGGATTTGGTAAGAACAGACCTGCCGTGTCCACTAGAAGCAGTGTACCAGAGACAATCCTGATCATCATACCCTGTTTATGGTGCTCATCATAATACCTTCTACGTTCCACTTGAGCACTAACACTACACACCCTTCTTCTGTACATACCGCCTGCGGTCATACTCTCCAAACTTCTGCCTGCTGTAATAACCAGTCATGCAATATATGAGTACACCCGTGGAAATTGTTAACTTTTTCAACATATTTGAACAGGAAATATTAGAACCGTTTTTAACAGTGCCTACAGATAAAGGTGATTTGAATCAGAGCACAAGATGTAATGGTGTATTGTGTAAAAAGAAAAGTATACCCTTGGCATCAAAAGCTGGTAATGGCCTTTTTAAAGCGGAGCTCCACCCAAAAGGGGAAATTCCACTTTAAGTCTTTGTCCCCCGCTCTCCATTAAGGATTGGCACCTTTGGGGAGCAGGGGGAGGGGTATTTGATAGGTACCTCTCCCACTTCCGCTGCGATCACCTAAGGCAGGGGTGTCCAAACTTTTTTCAAAGAGGGCCAGATTGGATGAAGTGAACATGGTGGAGGGCCAAACATTTTTCCGAACATTCTTTGAACCATTACAATTAAATGCAAATAAATTATTTTATGCCAAGTTAATTGCAATCGACATACTTTTCATTTCATAACATTAAGATCAACTGACAGCTGAGTTTTCACAATGTATTGAAAATAAATTTTAAAAAAACTTACCTGCACTAATGTGAAGGGTGAAAAAGGTAGCTGGAGCTGAAGTCTCTGCTCGGCAGCCGGGAGGGGAAGAGAAACACACTTCACGCTGGAAGCCCGGCCCTGACGTCACCACCCTCTGTCACTCCCAGCACGGCGCAGTCACGCATGCGCACTGCTCTCAAGCAGAAGACTGTCTGCCACAGAAGGGAGGGCCGTGCGACAGCCGCATTTACACATACCAGGGAGAACGCGCTGCAGTCAGGCATGTGCACTGCTCTCAAGCAGAAGACTGTCTGCCATAGAAGGTAGGGCCGTGGGAGGGCACATTACACAGAGCAGGGAGGGCTGTTGGAGGGCCGTATTAAACCGACCCCCGGGCCCGTAAATGGCCCGCGGGCCGGACTTTGGACATGCCTGACCTAAGGCGATTGGAAGCAGAAGTTGTCCTCCCTCCACGTAGTCTTCTGGGACCTGTGACGTGTCCAAGAAGACTACCAGGCCATTCACAAAGTGCAGCGCTTCTCGCGCATGCGCAGTGGGCAAGCTGTCACAGCCGGGTGCCCACACTGAAGATGTCGGCGCCAGGGAGAGAAGACAGCTGGTGAAACATCCGTGGTGAGGACACCGCTGGACCGAGGGACAGGTAAGTGACTTTGTTTTAAAAGTCAACAGCAACAGTCTTTGTAGCTGCTGACTTTTGTTTTATTCAGCTGGAACTCCGCTTTCAGTTGTTTGTAGGTTTTCTTGCACAAACTTCCGGATTAAAAATTTTCTATGAGAACTAAATCAATGCTTTTACTAGATCATTCCATAATCCCCTAATTCTTTTACGGCAATTCCTTGAGGATTTCCTTGATAGCATGTTGAAAGAATAATTTTTCCAGTTCAACTTCAACTTTTGGACAGATGGACTCACATTCTAATCAAGCACACTGATCCGATGCAGAATGTATAGTTGACTTGATGACTATGAACTGCCCAGATTCTGAAGCAGCAATACAATCCCATACCATAACATTTCCACCACCATGCTTCACAGTTGTTATGATGTTCTCCTAAAATAATGTCTTATATTTGCAGCAACTATGTCTACTGTAAATGTGACCAACTCCATCTGTAATTGTTCAGTCTTTAGCACATTGTTTCAGAACCCTTAGTCTTTGCCTATACTGTATGTTTGTGGCACCACCCCTAAAGAAACCACTTGATAACTTTGGGTTTTCTGTTCTGTGCCTCGACTCCAAGTGTAAAATATATATATATATTTTTTCCAAATACTTTTTTATTGAAGTCGTCAACAGTTTTATAGTCCACAAAGCCAAACCAATTAAAACAGCCCACACACTGGCTGTACTTTCATCACATAAGACATTAATATCCTTATTTACATATAGATATTGTAAGGTCAAAGCTAGAAATGTTATCAAAACAGTACTCTATTGCATCCTTGATTTCATGTAACAATAAAACATGTTACAATCACAGTACCTTTCTAACCTAATTTGCCTATTCCTATAGGCAAAATGTACAACAAATAATTGTAGACATAGCTCAATAAAATACAGTTTGGTAACCCACATCATGTCTTGTCCAGGGGTAAGGTACCTAGATTATGTCCGCAAAATTCCGGGTCCCTCTACCATTAGTGGTGTCGTATAAGTCTGGTATTGTGATACCCATATATCTCCCAGCAGGGATCAAGACCAGAAAACAACTAACATTGTAATATACTCAGGGATACAAAAGCTAAAGGGGGCAAATCTGGAGTCTGAAGCATTGGTATCATTGTGAGGTATTATGGACAGCTCCAAAACTCTCCTGCTTTCAATTGAGCAATCAAATGATATTGGTTCGATTTAGACAACAATATATTTTGAAACGGAATCCTTTAGAGTATGAATGACCAACCCAGAGAGGTGATGCGATTGTGCTGCTAAAAAATATGTTTTGGCAGATGGAACCGCCAATCCTCCACCATCCTTAGGTAGCTGTAATATGGGTAAACAGATTCGAGGTTGATTCCCCTGCCATATAAAATTATGATAAAGAGCATCAATTTGTTTAAACCATTTCTGTGTTACCCACAATTGTGCAAAATGTACAGCAGGTGAGGAGCCCAAATCATTTTAATGAGGTTCGTGCGACTCACAACAGATAGAGATAGTTTACACCATGCTCTGTCCTTAGATTTGAATTTCTCTAGTTGCAAGTTGTAGTGTAGATAATCTTGTACCCTATGATGGTCCCAGACTCCTAAGTACTTGAAGGCAGGTACACCTGTTGGCCATCTAAGGGGTGAATTACAGATTTGTCCTAATCGATCACGAATCCTGAAAAGAAGCCAAAGGTGGAAATGATAGTCATAATAGAAGAAAAGGACCGGTTGGTGTCTCCTAGAAAGAGCAAGGCATCATCAGCATAGAAAGCCAATTTGTCTTCCGTCGCTCCCCTTCTAAAGCTGACTATGGTGTTCGATTGCCGTATAGTAGCCGCCAGCGGTTGTATTGCCAGGGCGAATAGAAAGAGTAAAAGGGGGCAGCCCTGACAAGTCCCCCTATAAAGTGAGAAGGAATCAGAGTGAGATCTGTTAACCAGCATGGTGGCTTTCGGAGCAGAATACTATAATTGTACCCATCTAATAAAAACTATGTCCTATGGT